GAGGAAAGGTGTCATAACATATGTATGTATCTTTGTTTTCCCAGCATCAGTGAAGACCCTGCCATATGGCAGTCATTTCACATGTAAAATAGAACTTGATTCCCAGTATTTATAAGACAATAAAAAATTTGGAGGTAGAGAGATGGCTCAGCAGTTAAGAGCACTTGTTGCTCTTACAGAGTACTGGGGTTTGATTCTCAACACCCACATGGTATCTCGAACCACCTGTAACTCCAGTTCTAGGGGATGGATGGACTCTTTTCACTGTGGCTGACTCCAGGCACACACATGGTGCATATATATAAGGGCAAGCAAACATTCATACACACAAAATAAATAAAACCTAACAAAAGATAAATATTTTGATACTCATATCAAGTTATAATAACCTAAACTTTTACAAAAAAAAACAAAGATCTAATCAATAGTAAATGGTATACCAATACAATAATATAAACTTAGCTGAAGCATCCAGAAATAAGAATCCCTCAGTACAATACCTCTTCACAAACTCTAACATTAAACATAGAGTAACAATAACAGCAATTTTCCCCGAGTAGAAGTTTCTCCTGATAGCTCCCATCTGAACCATGGATGCTCTTGAAGCCCACTGGAGACCACAGCTTCTACTGTCTAGGAAGTGGGAAGGACTTGTTCCTTTAAAACATTTCCTCTTCTCTAAAAAACCCAAATACAGTTTCTTGGTTTTGGTAACAAACTCCCCATTCACCACTGCACCTGTCCACACGGTCTACCAACCCTAACTTCCTCTGGTCTGTTTCTTTATTGAGCCTGGGGTCTAGCTTTGTTGTTCAGGCTAAACTCAGGATGCTAAAACCGAGACTCCCTCCTCTCCCCCTTCCTTCTCTTCCCCCCCTCCCCTTCCAGAGGTCAGCCTTTAATTTGTAGGTAAAGTCAACAGTTCCACGGATGACTCGCCCAGTGCTGTGCCTTCCAAGTCTCTGCTCTTTGACTTCCTCACCACAGCATGGCAACCATACCCAGGCTCCCAGGTCTCCTTCCCACTCTACTGTCCCATCATTAGCCCATCAGCAACAGTCAGTGGCTGTCCCTAAACTGTTTTATTTTAAGCATCCCAACACTTGGCTTCCCCCTCCCACCCTTTCAGCTCATCTACACCAGTCACCTTCTACTTAGCACCCCCCAATTCCGTTAATCTCACCACTCCTACTACCTGCCACCTTCACCAAGGCCTCTCTCCTCTCACTTCTCTTCCTGTTTGATAGGATTCCAAAGATCAAAATTAAGCTGGCCTTACAGTATTCTCAATTCTCTTGTCAATTTCTTTAACTTTATTTTATTATCCTCAACCTGTGTGTGTGTGTGTGTGCGCGCGCGCGCACGCGCACACACACACACACACACACATCCATGCATGTACAATGTTTATGAGGAGGTTAGAGGCCAACTTTGTGAGTTAGTTCTCTCTTTTCATCTTTATATGAACTCTAAGGGTCAAACTCAGGTCATCAGGCTTCAGCAGCAAGCACCTTTATCTACGGAGCCATTTTGGTGACCCTTAATTATCAATTTCCTGATCTGGTCTTCTGGTTTTTTTTTTCTATGATGTGACTAGATGTGAGATTTCTACTTACTTATTCTCACTGTCGGTGACTGTGCCCCTGCACCATAGTTCCACAATAGTTCCTTTACTAGAGACATGACTGCATGTGGCTAGGCCATACAAGGCACTGGAGCTTCTGTAGTTCCCTCAATCACTTGCTCTGCATGTGAATTTAGAGGCCCATCTAGGAGCAGAGGCTAAGAGATGGTACCAATGCCTGCTTGTGATGGAACCCTTGGAAGTAGATGCCTTAACCTCAGACAAGCCCTGAACCAGCATCCTGCCCTCACCACACTGAATGCTGAGCTGTTGTCTACTGCTACTGCAGACACTAAATCTTAGAGCAACCTGTGCACATCAGTAGACAATGACTTTAACTCATATGTGTATTCATTAAGCTTTCTGGTTCTATTCACCAGCATCATCAGCAACTCAGAAGCTGTCTCAGCTCTTACTTCTCATTTATTCTATTGTCCTTTCTTTCTAGGACTCCAGCTAAACGCACCTTAGGCCTTCTCTTGTATCATCAAACCCTCACACATCTCTTTCTCCATTTTGTGCATGTGCATTCTTGTACCTGTGTGGGCTTGCATGGGAATGCCCCAGGTGGATGCCCAGAACACTCCTCAATTGCTCTTCTGCCTTATTTACTGAGGCATGGTCTCTCATTCAAACCCAGTGCTCACTGATATATCTAGTTTGCTGTTTGCTCTGGGGATCCTCTGCCAACACTGTCTATGCCTGGATTTTAATACAGGGCACCATGCCCACCTGACATTTAAATGAGCCTCCTTCTTGCCATCAAGCACTTTCCTCAGTAGGCCAGCTCCCTGGCTCCTCTCACACGTCCTCTTCTTATTTTGTCTTCATTCTAACGAGCTTCTTCTGACTTCTCCGGCTCACTGGTTCTTTTTTCTTTTTTTCCCCCTTTTTCCCCTTTTTGTTTCTGTTTTTTTTGAGACAGGGTTTCTCTGTATAATAGTCTTGGCTGTCCTGGAACTCACTTTGTAGACCAGGCTGGCCTTGAACTCACTGAGATTCACTTGCCTCTGCCTCTTGAGTGCTGGGATTAAAGGCCTGTGCCATCACCATGCAGCCAGCTCACTGATTCTTTCTTCAGTCATTTCTAATCTTCTGTTAAATCACCCATAGAATTCTTCTTTTGGTTAGTATATTTTTCAGTTCTGAAATTGCTTAAATCTACTGTGTCACTTTTTATAATTCTGAGTTCCCTACCAAGATTTTTCCACTTCAGCTTTTATTTCCTTAGATCATAAAAATATAGTTCCAGAAAGAAAGAATACATAGCTTCATTGTCTATTCTACTAATTCCAATAACTAATATTTATTGTTGTGGGAGTAACTTCCGCTGCCTCAACCAATAATCACTGAAGCAGGAGCCCACAGTGCAGCAGGGAGCGACTTCCGCTCCGTCAGCCAATAGCTGCTGAAATACCAGCCCACTGGGGCGTGGTATATTTCTCTCTTAAAAAGAGAAGCAGTTCCGGATAAGGCCCTCTTGGTTCCGGCTCTTGGTTCCGGTGCTCGGTCTCAGCTGCTGCTCCCGGCTCCTGCTCCAGCGACTAGGCTCCCTTCCTGACGGTTTATGGTGTATGTAAGTTTTACCCCCCGCCAAATAAATAACCCCTTAAAACATAACTGGTGTGGGATTGATTCGTTAATAATTTATTCCGAATGGTTACCGTGAATATGGTTTGAATGAATATATATGAAACAGGCTCATATATATTCTCAGCAATAGAAAAGTAACTGAGACAGTCACCTGCATGTGTGAGTCTTTGAGTTTGAACTGCACTGTGGCATACACCTACAATTTCACCTACTTGGGAGGCCAAGGCAAAGTGGATCCCCTGAACCCAGATATAACAAAACTCTATAATGCTGGGCAGTGGAGGTGCACAATTTTAATTCTAGCACTTGGGAGGCAGAGGCAGGTGGATCTCTGTGAGTTTGAGGTCACCTGGCCTACAGAGTCACAGAACAGTCAGGGCTACATAGAGACCCTGTCTTGACAGATAGATAGATAGATAGATAGATAGATAGATAGATAGATAGATAATAGACAGATAAAACTCCATTAAAATGTAAACTATTTCTAAACATAACCAAGTTCTTAAAGCTATAGCTCTTGACAAGCAGATGCCCAACAACAAACAAAAACTTTATACACAACCAAAAAGCAAATACCTGCATTGCAATGGGTCCTTGGGACATTTGAGAGCTGTAATTCATTCCCATCATGCCTTGCATATTGGGTTGCATGACAGAGACCATAGGAAATCCTTGCTGCTGCATTGGCATCAGGCCTGCTGGAAAATACCAAGGCTTTATTAAAGTCATGACCTATGGTTTATTTCCTTGAAACCACATCACCCAGAGACTTGCTAATTGAAAAGCTGCACAGTACAATGGAAAATGCACAAGGTCCTGATGAGACAGGCCTAACTAAGAATTCCATCATCTATTTAGCTATAGAATTTCATCTGTTAAGTCAGTAGCTCTCAACTTGCAGGTCATGACCCCTTTGGGGAGACTGGAACTACCCTTTCACAGAGGTTACCTAAGACCAATAGAAAACACAAATATTTACATTATGAGTCATAACAGTAACAAAATTACAGCTATGAAGTAGCAACGAAAATAATTTTATGGTTGGGTCACCACAACATGGGGAACTGTATTAGAGGGTCTGTCTTAAGTGAAAGTAATAATACTGGTTTTGCAGAACTTGAATGTGGATATGAAATGAGTGACTTGGCCTAAATATGGTACTCAGTCTTCACCATGAGTTCCAGTGATTCCTGCCCTCTGGTAGTCATAAGCTTGTATCATTTCTTCCCATGTTGAGCTCATATTACCTAATAGGATTCTGTAGTGATGACAACATGTAACCAACTGCTCAGCCTAGTTCCTTTGGGACAAGATCTGGTATGACTGAAGGGCTAGCCTGATCCTCCAGCCTCCATCTCCAAAAGCTGTAATCACAGGTGTGTGTCACTGCACCTTGGCTCCCAAGGCTAGTCCCTGGCTTCCTTCTTGCTTTCTGGGGGGAAACCACTGCTGCACTATGGAACACTCAAGCTGTCCTTTGGGGAATCCATGTGGAGATCTGGGCCCACTCCAAAGAGGCCGCATGAGTCTGCCACCTTGAGTGAGCCACCTTGGAAGCAGATCTTTCAAGTTCCTAAAACCTTCAGATGACTGCAGTTCTGCCTGATGGATTTACTGCAGCTCACAAGATGCTCTGAGCCAAAGTCACCCAGCAAAGCCACTCTGAGATTCCTGACTCATAGGCACGTTACAAAATAACAAAATGGTGATTTTGCAAAGTTTTGGGGTTATCTGTTATATAACAGTGGATGATAACACTGAAGACCATGAGCTCTGGAAGTCAAACAAATGGGCTACAAACTACCCATGGTACCCTGAGTGTTTGCTCACTCTGCTCTGTCTGAATGTCTCTATGTCTGTCTCTGGGACTCTCTCTGACTCTCTCTCTCTCTCTCTCTCTCTCTCTCTCTCTCTCTCTCTCTCTCCCCCAGACTCACTATATAGCCAGACTGGCCTCTAAATCTTCTTGAGTGCTGGCATTGCAGCACTCCTGGTTTTTCTTAACTTTGTTCTGCAACTTTACTTCTCATCTGCAAAACCATTTACTGTTTATTACGTCAAAGAAATGCTATTCCTCTTCCCTTTCCTTAAGCGAACACTTACTCAAAACAGCATATGTGAAGCATATGTGACATAGGAAAACCATGGGGAAAGTACTAAGTACACTAGCATCTTCTAGGTTTCCCCAGTGAAACATTCCCAAGAGCAGAGAAGAATAAATGTACAGCCTTTGGGGTTTAGTAGTCAGCAAATGTCTACCACACACAAGAAGCAGTTCCATGCCTTGAGCATGACAGTGAATACGAACACAGCTTGGGCACAAACTACACTCCAACTTTGCATTTTACCACACTCTGCAATCTCATTGATTCCAGCAGGCATGTCCAACCTATGGGCTGCATGCAGATGATCTGAGGATAGTCATAAATGCAGCCTAATACAAAATCACTAGCTTACTTAACACCACAAGAACCATGTATACACGTGATTGTGTGGTTCTTGAATGTGAACAATGCAAATGCTGAGAAGCTTTGCTTCCTGGGTTGTTTTGAGACAGTCTCCCTGGATAGACAGGCTGGGGCTGGGATTAAGAGTATGTGCCATCATGGCTTGCCAACTTTTTCTTCTTTTTTTAAAAACAAACAACAACAAAAACCAACTAATACTTAACTTAAAGAAGAACAGAACTGTCAAGGTGGACACTACCTGTAGTTCAGCACTGGGTAGGCTAGGGCGGGAGGATTGCACATTTAGAGGCCAGAATACATAGTCAGATGCTATTTCAAAAAATAATCGTATACTAAGCAGCAAAGGAAAAGAACAGTGTACTGTATTGGTCTTGTTTTATCATTTACGTTCTATATTTCTTACTGCCTAGTGTCAGAAGCACATCTCCACTTGCAGGCTGACAGCAAGCGGAGGTATACGGCTCATTTGGTTTGTCCTGATTCTTGAGGGTCTATGGTAGGCATCGTCCTAAGAACACAGCAATGAATAAAGCCAGAGCTTCCTGCTATAGAATCATGCTGTAACTGGAGACAACAAATAATTAAAAACAAAACTAAAACAAAGCCCTGTAAGTCAGGTGGTAGTAAAAGCTGGGGCAAGAAAGAAAGCATAGCAATGGGAGACGACTGCAAGGAAATGCAGTGGTTGTTCCTCTGTGCCACGTGCTCAAGGACCCGAAGGAAGGACGGCAGCCGAGCGGCACAGGCAACTGAAAAAGAGAATCTCAAAGGACAGTGCAGGCAACGACCGAGTAGTGTCCTGGGTAACCAGAACACTCAACAGTCACAGCTTTCCCTCTTATCTTTAGGGCCTAACGATCATTTCAGTTTTGAATGGGTGATTTGGGTATTGGTATAACATTTAAGGATTAAAGTATACAAAGTGAAAAATTAAGTTTTCTCTCCTTGTCTCTTGATCAAGTACACAAGGCACTGTGGGCAACACTGCTGGTGTTTTCTTGTATAATTTTTAGAATTCATCTGTGCTTCAAGTCTTCAAATGACCAAAAGTCCACTCTAAAATACTTTTAAAACCCCTCATGCCAAACTAGGTGGTACATGACTGTGATCTCAGCCAGTGGGAAGTGGAGGCAGGAGGATCAGGAGTTCAAGGTTATCCTCAACTACACAATGAGTTCCAGCCCAGCCTAGGCCACATGAAATGCTGTCTCCAAAGAAAACAAGAGCTGGTGAGGTGGCTCAGTGGGTAAAGATGCTTGCCCAAACCTGACAATCTAAGTTCAATTCCAGGAACCTTCACGGTAGAGGGAGAGAACTGACTCCCACGAGCTATCCTCCAGCCTCACTTCACACTCACTGTGGCTCTCAGACACAAACATACACTACACGAGGTTTTGTTGTTGTTTTTTTTTCAATCACTAAAACAACAACAAAACACCCCCTCTAAAACAATTCCAAATGTCAGGGACTGGAGGGGATGGCTCAGCGATTAAGAGCACTTGCTGCTCTTGACAGAGGACCTGGGTTCTATTCCCAGCACCCCACTTGGTGGCACACGACCACTAGGATCTGACAATTCTGAGCTTCATGGGCTCCAACACACAAGTGGTACACTCATATACACTTGTTTGTGTGTGTGTCTCTCTCTCTCACACACACACAATAAATGTCTTTTTAAAAATCCCAGTTCTAGAATTAAGAACTATTAGGCAATCCTTGGGATCTTCTTCTTGTTCAGTTTCTTTGCTTCATGTGTGGATTTTTACCTCAAAGAGTAAAAAAAATGCAAAGCAATGAACCACATAGTAAACACAACTTTGTAGGACAAAATACCTTAAGCCATTTGATATAAATCTGGGACACCCAAGCAGAGAAACACATACTCATACACACAATGAAAAGAATACAACTGACCCTTGGAAAATTGGCCTGCAACTCCACCTCTTCCATGGATGGAAACAGTCAGTGAGCTAATTCCCACTGCTCTGAGTGCCCTTGATCTTTTATCTCCTGGTGACCTAGGAGTTTCAGTTTCCCCAATGAGTGTACTATAGCCAGCTAGCACTGTGAGAGGGGCCACTTTTCAAAGGCAGCTGGAGGCTGAGGGGAGTAGAGGGGAAGATGGTGGAGCTGCAGAAGGGAGCAGAAAAAAGCAAGACAAATGTAGGCAAACTCTTCCCTCAATTTTTGTCTACAGCAGAACGGGTCAAAATTTTATCCCCTAACTCCAGTTGCGTTCAAGGTATGGCGAGAACCGATGCCAGTGGGCTCCAGTTCTACAGCCAAGAGAAGGGGTGCAATGAACAGAGATATTTCCAGGGAGAAAACCGACTCAAATCTTTTTATTGTTTATTGAGATAGTATCTTGCTATACAGTCCAGGTTGACTCAAACTCACAACCCTGCCTCAGTCTCCCAAATGCTAGAATTAAAGTCATATGCCCCCATAGCTCGCTGAGACATAAATACTTTTCTTTCTTGAGACAGTCTCACTATGTAACCATAGCTGGCCTTGAACTCAGTTTGTAGACTAGCCTCAAATTTAAGATATTGGCTTACCTCTTCTTCCCAAATCCTGGGATTAAAGATGTATATTACACTAGTTTGAGACTTAAAGACTTTTAAATTGGAATATCAGATCTCTTTTATGTGCATCATTATAATAAGACCACTGCATATGGAAAAAGCATGCATGAGTTATTAAAGAGGTTTGTTTATTCATTCAACAAACATCACATGGAATCTACCATACCACTCAGGCAGGGTGCTGGAGACACTGGGAAGCATGCGATAACAGCTCCTGCCCTCTGGCACAAAGAAGGCAGAAGACCAAATAGGAAGACGAGAGAATGACAGCTTGTCTCAGTGTCACCGCTTGTTCTTACTGTCCTTGCCCTGGAAAGTTTCCCTTCACCTCCTAGGTTAAATAGCAATCTACTGAAATAATGGATGAGTACGTTTGGGAAACATTAAGAGTGATTCCTTCACTCCCCAAATTAAACTTTTTAAATTTTTTTTGTTTTGTTTTGTTTTTCAAGATGGGGTTTCTTTGGGTAACAGCCCTAGCTGTCTTGGAACTAGCTCCTGTAGACCAGGCTGGCCTCAGACTCACAGAGATCCGCCTGCCTCTGCATCCTAAGTGCTGGGATTAAAGTATATGCCATAACTGCCCGACTAAACTTTTTTAAAAGAAATTTCAAGAGAAGGTGTCATACAGAGTTAGGACTATAGGATAATCTTACTTCATTGGGCAGCAATATAACTTATCTTCTTCGCCATTTAATTTCTAAGTTCAGAAACAGTGTAAAACAGCTTAGGTTTGGGGCTGAGAATGTGGCTTAGGAGTAGAGTGCTTGCCTAGAGTGTGCGAGATCCTGGGTTCCATTCCAGGACTGACAAGAGAAATGTTAGGTCTCACATACCTTGAGGGGGTCTCATTCCACCTGCAACAGGAAACATGAAGCTGAAATGAGAATACAAATATACGTCAGTATCTTCATCTGTATTAGATTTCAAACAAAACCTGATTCTCACCTGAAGGAAAGAACCAGACAGAGCCTGGGATTGGGTCAGTAGCACAATGCTGACTTACTATTTAAAATTTTTACACATATGTTTTGTCTGCATGTTTGCCATTGCATTTCATGCATGCCTGGTTCTCACAGAGGCCATAAGAGGGTGTTGGATCCCCTAGAATTGGAGTTTCAAAAGTTGTGAGCTGTCACGTGGGTACTGGGACCTAAATCCAGATTCTTGGCAAGAGCAGCCAATGTTCTTAACTGCCGAGTCATCTTCCCAGCATGAGAATTATTAATATTAATAAAGACTAAATTTCCCTATGATACAAAGTATAAGTCTGCTAATGTTGAAGGAACTTTGGGGATGTGTGAAATAGAAAATAGACAATCCTGACATTATTCTTGACTCTGTCACCTTGTGACCTCCCTGGGTTCAAAATTCTCCAACCATGAAATGGGAGGGCTGGATTCATTTAATGAGCATCTACTGTGTGGAAGACTGGAGTAGTTAGCAATCTTGAATACACAGGTGCAGACAGATAACTGCACAGCAGGGTTAAGTGTGCGCTTTAAGGCAAGGTCCAAACACTAAGAGCTCGGAAGAGCAAGGTTAAATTTTAGGTTACACCTTGGGAGGACTTGCGGAGGTGGTATATTATTGTGTGTGTGTGTGTGTGTGTGTGTGTGTGTGTGTGTGTGTGTATATATATATATAATCACAAAATGTTACCATTTGAATAATTTCAAGTACATAATTCAGTGATATTGAGAACATCCATAATGTTGAAACCATTACAACCACTAACTATCCATGTTCAGAACTTTTCTGTCAGCACAAACAGAACCTCTAGTGCCATTAGCAATAACCCACCATACCACAGACCCACTATTCTTTCTATCATTTATAATTTGTCTATTCCAAGTTTAAATATTAAATAGAACCAGGTAGCTAGTATCTGGATTCTTTCACTTAGGCACACTTGCTCCAGGCTCATCCATACTATAGCATGCATTAATATCTCAGTTCCTTCCACAACTGTGATCCAACTCAATGTGCATAGCAAACTGTTTATCCTTCCATCTCTACATGGGTATTTGGGTTCCTTCTACCTTCTGGCTGACGTGAACAATACTGCCATGAATACTGCCGTGTGTGTGCCTGAGGCTTCCTTCGGTTCTGGTATGGACCTACGAGTGAAGCTGCTAGGTCATATGATAGTTCCATGTGTACTTCTTGATAACTGCCAAATTGTTTTCCATGATGGCTGCACCAGTCCACATTCCTACCAGCAACACACAGGATTCTGTTTTCACATCCCACACAACACCTAAGTGTGTGTGTGTGTGTGTATGTGTGTGTGTGTGTGTGTGTGTAGCATAGAGGTCTCTTGCCTGCATGTATGTCCATGTACTACATGCACATCTGGTACCTGCAAAAGCAAGAGGAGGGAGTTTGATCCTCTGGAAAACTAGAGTTACAGATGGTTGTGAGCCACCACCGTGGGTCTTGGAAACCAAACCTGGGACCTTTGAAAGTGTTGCCAGTACTCTTAGCCACAGAGCCATTTGTCAGTCTCCCCCCACTCCACACACACACTATATATAAAGACAGCTACCTGAAAGGGGATGAAGTGGTATCCCACTGTGGTTTGGATGTGACCTCTCTGCTATCAGACATTTTGAGAGGAAGAACAACATGTTGCAAAGTGTACTTTGGGAGGTTACTTTAATGACAGCATATGAAAAGATTTGAAGTAAAAAGAACTGGCCAAGAAGCTACCCAATGTTCCTAAGGATGGGAAAAAAGTGGGCAAAAGATTCGAAGAAGGAAGACTCAAGAGAACCTGGTGGCTGCAGGGTGGGGGGCAGTGGGAAAACAGAGCACGGCGAGGGGGATGCTGAGCTGGGACAATGCGAGGATGAGGAGCTCAGTGTACAGGCCTGGGGAGAAAGGTGCTGGGGACGAGACCTCGAGCAGCAACCCGTTACTCAAGCTGGGCGTGGTAGGGCACACCTTTAATCCCAGCACTCAGGAGGCAGAGGCAAATGGATCTCTCCGAGAACTCTGAGATCTTGAGCCCAGCCTGATCTACAGAGTGAGTTTTAGGACAGCCAGAGCTACACAGAGAAACCCTGTCTCGGAGAAAGACCTGGAAAAATTCAGCGATCCAGATTAAATCTTTTAAATAAAGATTTTTTTAAAAAGCAGAAAATTTATAACATAAACAAGGAAGTGGGCACATGTAGCAAGATGGCTCCACGGGCAACCTCGGAGTCCCACACTGGAAACTGAGAACAGAGTGGCTACTGAGACCACTGAGACGTGAGGGAGCAGTTCAGAACCAAGGACGGACACAGGTCAAGAAAGCAGCTGCCAATGTCTACTGCTGCAGAAAAGCCTGTCCAGGTGCAGGTTAAGAGAAAGTCACTGCCTTGAGAACGATGGTCTCCAGGAGGAAGCATCGGCAGGGGGGCAGGCTCAGGAGGATGCACAGGATTCTTACAGCCTGGAAAACGAGGTTTTCGAGGAATGAGACTAAAGAGCAAGGCGGGAGCTGCTTTGAGGAATTAGTCCATTCGCTGAGGCTGAAAAGGGCACAAATCAAGAAAGGCTTTTTAAAAATTTATTAAAAGAAATTACTTTATGTGTAGAGGTGCATATGCATGTCTTATTTTGACTGCACGCATGTCTATACACAACAAGCAAGCAGTGCCCATGAAAGCCAGAAGAGGGTGTCAGATTCTATACACTGACCTTAAAACTGCTGGAAAGCAAGCATATGCATGCTGGGAATCAAACCGGAGTCTTCTGCAAGAGCAGCCTGTGCTTTTGGCCACTGAGCCAACTCTCCAGACCAAGAAAGGAAAACTCTCGACTGAAAAAGTCTCTCAATTTCAGAGTCAGACTTGAGAGTTTCTGTGCAGCTTAGTGAGCACCAGGAACTCTGTCAAATTCAGGAACCCTTGCGTTTTACTACACTGGCCCTCCCACTCCCAGGACAAGGCCTGAAACTCAACTTCAGAGCCCATGGTTCTAAAGCACTTTAGTGTTTTGCTTTGTTTCTTTTTAACTGGATGGCGCATTAGCACTCTAGCTGGACATCCATCGGGCAGTATATTACTTATGGCTTTTGTAGAGGGACTGGGTAACTGAGTGAATCTTGCTGCTGACAAGCAGGCCCCAAGAGTAAGTCCTCTTTTTTAATGGCATACAAGAGGCCATAAATAGCCAAACTGTGTGTTAACTGGTTTGTGTCTGTCTGTTAAGGTGAAACTTCTAGGCTCAAGTCTTCCTCCTGCCTTATCTTCTGAGCAGCTAGGACCTATAGCTGTGAGCCTCCATGTGAGCTCTGCTCACTGGACAAAAGACCTGATGAACTTGGTAGAAGGGGTACAGCTGAGAGGTCAACCTGTCAACTTTGTCAAACCAGTCGTGAAAATCCAAATCACCAGTATGGCGGAGTCGCTCAGTGAAAACCTGGAATGAGTTGTATTCTCTTTTACCCAGTTTTAATTCTCTTATTATCCGACCTGCCGGCTTCCCCCACTGTCAAGTGAGGACACAGAACCCAACGTTTGTCAAGGTTCCAACTAAGGTAAGCACAGGGACAAGATATAAGATGTATCACAGGGTGAGAGAGATCGTTAGTGAGCTGCTCTTTGGAGGACCTGGGTTCAATTCCTGGCATCCAAACGTTGGCTAACAGTCACCTGTAACTACATTTCCAGGGTATCTGTCACCCTTTTCTGATCTCCAAGGGCACCAGGTTATGTGTGTGGTGTATACATACATGCAAAAACCCTTACACATTAATAAATCTAAAAAATGATTTTTAAAAGAATACCTATTGTAAATAAAGAAAAGCTACTTAAAAATAAACACATATAAAAACAAAGCAAGTGTACTGATAAAAGACTTACTCTAGCAAAAATGTAACAATCCTACATTGCTTAGTGACCCCTATGCAACTTTTAGGACTGAAATACTTAGATAACTAATCCCCTTCCCCCTGCCATGTGATTCTTGTGTGAAGATCCGAGCTGGCCAGAAGAGGGCATCAGATCCCCTGAGCTGGAGTCACAGCAATTATGAGCCTTTTCATGTGAGTGCTGGGAATAGAATTCGGTCTGGAAAAGCAGTAAATGCTGTAACACAGCCATCTCTCTAGCCCCATCATTTTTTTTTTTGTTACATTTATGTGTGGGTGGGTGGGTGGGTGCGGGGTGTGTGTTCATGTGGAGGTCAAAGGACAACTTGGGTCATTACTCTCCTGTACCTTGTGAGTCCCTGGGATTGAACCGAGGTCGGGAGGTTTGGCAGCAAGCCCCACCCACAGCCAGCAAGCCCCACCCACAGCCAGCAAGCCCCACCCACAGCCAGGCCCTGACAACTAATTCTAAGAATGGCTAGACAAGCAGCTTGAGGGAAGGACAGGGCTGGGGTGGGTTGCGGGTGTGAATGACAGCAAAGCTTCCAAGAAGGCTGAGTGGCCAAGTCTTCAACCTGGAGCTCTGCTGGTCACAAGCCTTTGCTACCAACCTACATTTGCTACATTTGCTTTGGTGTCTCAAGTCTGGCCTCCGAAATACAGTCTTCTCCATGGAGCCTCTCTGCCTCAGGCTCTGGTTTCTAACACATCTAACACAGCACTGGTGAGAGGCATCTGCCTAAGGGGCCATTCAGTAAAGAGCCTGTCATAAGTGCACACCTGGACTTAAAAGGGTACGATTCCTCTGGCAGGCAGAGTTTCCCTTAGGTTGGTCTCATGGCCTTCTCTGACCAGGCATACCTTTCCCTTCTTTCTTATCTTAGGAAACTCTTCTTCGCACCCATCGGCAGCCTACTGGCACTGCAGATGTGTTTGCCGCTCCCACAGGGCTTGCCATCCCCACCCTACTCCCCACACGGACAATCTCAACTCCTTTCTCTTCCTTCCACCTCTTGCTCAGTGCAGCTGAAAATCAACTTCACTACTGTCCATTTTGGTGGAATCCAGAAATATTTACATTAAAAAATATATCAGGCTAGGCAAGAAACTGCAGAAGATGGAGAGACAAAGCACTCACGGAGCTGGTAAGAGAGCAGGGAAACAGAGTGCTAAGGTTACCTGTGCACAGTTCAGGCACCGGGACATGCCTCGAGTCTTTTGAACCCATCAGAACATCAAGAACAATAATGCTTAGCTGAGTGTGGTATCACCCACAATCCTAGCACTAGTAAAACAGAGGCAGACATATCATAAGTCTGGCTACCTTGGGCTATATGTTGCATTCAAGACCAGCCTGAGTTAAATTAATAAGACATTGTCTCAAAACAAAGGACATTTTCAAAACAGTACTTTACACATACAGGCACTTAATGACCATAACCAGGGTCACTAAAGACTCAATTCAGAATTTTTCAACTCTGCTGCTTTACTTGGCTAAAGGCAAATTTTGCATTTGTATGTCCCAAGTATTTGCTCTAGGATAGTCCCTTTCGTGTATTGGTCAAAAGCCACTGTTTGCATGTGGCTGCCTTTGGCTGACCTTTTAGAAAACTAAGTAGCTAAAAGAAAGTACTCGAGAAATAGTATCTAAGGCAGAAGAAAGGCTACAAAGTCAGTTCTAGTTTGTGATGTTTTTCAGCCGGAGGTTTAGAGTGTGCTGGTTTTGGTTTTCAAGTATATTATGCTACAAAGTTAGTTTTCTTATCAGAAAACTTTAGCCCTTAGCATTGCTTTCCCAAAACCAAAGTATTCCTGACTGAGTAAACATTTTCTCAGCCTAAGAAAGAACCTAATAAATGTAGCAACATATGCCTATCAGAGGGCCATCGTAGCGGCTTTTCTGTCCCCTATGTATTTGTCCACTACCAGCTGGAGTGCATACACGTTTGCTGTCCTTGTTCTTTTCCTTACGACTGGATCTCAGGGTGCCAGGCTGACCCCAAACTCTCCAGGTAACTGAGGAAGTCTTTGGTCTGCTAATCCTTTTGCCTGCATCTCCTTACAGCTGGTATTATAGGCATGCACCAGTGGCGTTAACTTTCTGTACTTGTGGTTCCCCCTTTCCTTTTCTTTTTTCTTTAAATAAAGAAAACGTTTGTGCCTAAAATATAAAATCCTTTCAAAATTCCTAGAACTGTTCCCATTTTTTTAAAATCATACATTTGATTAGACTAAAGCCATTTAGGAACATTTTAAAAATTGTCGTCATGTATATATTTATACTCTGCAGGCAAAAACAATTTATACTGACCACTCATGAAAAATCCTAATGAAACTGTTACAAAAACAAAGGAGGAAGCAAAACATTTTCAAATCAAAGATACAAAGAGGAAGTGGAAAACCCAGCCACACAAGTTGGTTTATTCAAGTGACTGCCTTTTTCCTAGCACACGTGTGTGGATATATATCACATATATGCACCTGCAAGGGGTGGCAACTTTAACATCCTTTACACATTTGTAGTGCAAGTGATTCCAAAATTAAACTACACGTGAAAAAAAACCCCAAACACTTCACTTTCCAAAGATAACTTGGGATATTTAAAAATGAAAAGCTAATTTTGCCTCGGAATGTGTGTGCTGTATACGTTAGCTAATTAAACAAACTCAGATTAAGTCATGATAAAAACGGACTGCAGACTTTCTGGAATCAAACATTTCACTAAATTATAATAAACTTAAGTTACAAATGCTCCTTTACCACTCTGGATACAGGAAGCACAGGCTAATAATTATCTGCAATATAACAAAGGGCAGACTTTTTTTTTTTTTTAAAGAGCTCAATAAAGTCTGGAAGCTTTTGTTGTAACAAGAGCATCACCGCTTTGCTCAGTGAATTCTTTGTTTCAAAATGTCTTTTTAAAAAAAGAGACAGTCAAGTGTTGAGTCAATCTACAAGACAAGCTCTATCTCAAGACAATTTCTAATTCAAAGGTCTTCAGATTTTCCTATTTGTACGTTTAGGAAAGAAAAAGGACAGGATAGGACGCTCTAGAAGAGGAAAGACAATAACTACAGACGCTCAGGAAGGTTCCTCCAGCTTTGTGACCAGACTGTCACAGCCTTCGCTCCAACAGTAGCTCAAGCCTAAAAACCCTGGAAGGGAAACGCGGGCGCTCGAGGCCCCGCGACAGGTGCGGCGGCGCCTGCACAGGAGCGCGCTCCCCGCGGGTCCCCAGGACGCCC